CTAAAGTTGTACTACAACTTCGCCAGTTCTCATCTTCCAGCTCCCCAGATGCTCCGCGTACTAAAGTTGTACTACAAAGTCGCCAGTTCTCAGCTTCCAGCTCCACAGCTTGCTCCGCGTACTAAAGTTGTACTAGAAAGTCGCCAGTTCTCATCTTCCAGCTCCACAGATTGCTCCGCGTACTAAAGTTGTACTAGAAAGTCACCAGTTCTCATCTTTCAGCTCGCCAGAGACTCCGCGCACTCAAGTTGCACTACAAAGTCGCCAGTTCTCAGCTTCCAGCTCCACAGATTGCTCCGCGTACTACAGTTGCACTACAAAGTCGCCAGTTCTCAGCTTCCAGCTCCACAGATTGCTCCGCGTACTACAGTTGCACTACCACGTCGCCACTCTCGCCTGCATTTCGCGCGCTCGACACACACGATCTCCGCAGAGGGTTGCGCCGGACATACGCAAATCGCACTCTCGCCTGCATTTCGCGCACTCGACACGCACGATCTCCGCAGAGGGTTGCGCCGGACCGGGTCAATTCGCGCACTCGACACGCACGATCTCCGCAGAGGGTTGCCCCCGACCGGGACAAAGCGCACTCTCGCCTGCATTTCGCGCACTCGACACGCACGATCTCCGCAAAGGGTTGCCCGCGGCAGAGACAAATCGCACTCTCGCCTGCATTTCGCGCACTCGACGCGCAAGACCTCCGCAGAGGGTTGCCCGCGACCGGGACAACTCGCACTCTCGCCTGCATTTCGCGCACTCGACACGCACGATCTCCGCAGAGGGTTGCGACGGACAAAGACAAATCGCACTCTCGCCTGCATTTCGCGCGTCTGACACGCACGATCTCCGCAGAGGGTTGCGTTTCGTGGCGGTCCGGCGGCACTGCCCCCGGCCTTAAGAGAGAAAGTTAAGAAGAGCGAGAGGTGAAGATGTGAGCTGTAGATGTGAGGATGTGAAGATGAGCAGAGATGATGTGAGGATGTGAAGATGAGCAGAGATGTAGATGTGCAGATGTGAACATGAGCAGAGATGTAAGATGTGCAGATGTGAACATGAGCAGAGATATAGGTGTGAATGTGGATGTGCAGATGTGAACATCAGCAGAGATATAGGTGTGAATGTGGATGTGCACAGGTGAAGATGTGAAGATGTAGATGATACGTAGTTCTGCAGATGTTTTTTACGAAGAACCCTTCGCAGACGCTTTCTCTTTTTCCTTTTCTGCACTTTCATTGCCCCTGTTCCAACCTTTCATGTTCATGACCTCCCATACACCCTCAGCCATTTTTTTCGATTTTCTACGCCCCATGTCATGGCTCACCATCCGCCCGGATTGCTTGCAGCCTCCACTCCACCACCTCCTCGGCAGGCAGTCTTCAACCCGTACGATATCCCAGTGAGCCCTCCGCCTGGACCTCGCCGTCCTCAGCCGCAACGGCAACCTGAACTTCTTTGGCTTCATTGGATGACCTGTTTGGCTGCTTGGGTCGTTGAATCCCTCTGCTGCCATCCGATTGTGGCTGAAGCTGTACCTCCCGACCAATATTTTGAGACCATTTCTGCCCGGAACATTCACATTCAAATGCGTCGAGCCATCCACGAGTTCAATAATTTGCAACGCCGCATTACACGCGGTGTCACACTTCTTCAATTTGTCGGCCCTTCCCCCGTTCCACTCACTGCCTACCAAACCTTCCGTGAACTTCATCAGTTTCGTTAGTTTCACCCAACTTTCCCGGCTCGGCGCTTAAAATATGCCTCCTCGGGGAGGCATGTGTGTGTGCCCCTTGTAATCACAGGGATCCTGTTGGATTTGTTGCTGAATTTTCTTCTTTTCCCGCAGGGGGACACAGCATTTCACTGGGACTGTGTCCAACGAAGCTATGAAATGGGATATCCGGCTTGGCCAGCTGGACGTGCCTGCGAATTTTAATCTTTTGGTAAAGTGCTAATGCATCTGCAGATGTGAGCGGCCGTTGTCACGTCGACCTGATCGCCGCTTCCGGACTTGAGCCTTTGGCCTCACCTCCGTTTGAAGACCCCCAGGCCCCTAGGTTCTTTTGGACCCTTCAGCATTTGGGTTTCTTAGGCTGGCGAGTGGCATGCGGCATTCAGTTCCGTACGCATATCCATAAGTGTGTGTAACCCTTGGAGTCACAGTGCTCCTGTTGGATTGTTTCCACTTTTCGGTTTTTAGCAGGGGGCTCTGGGTCCACTTTCACGCAGGAGCCAACGAAGACTGTGAAAGTTTGGACGCGCAAACGTTCCTGCAATGGTGCACCTGGGCGCTTTGTAAGACGCAGCTGGTGGCCACCCTTCAATTTCAATTTGAATTCTGCAGACATGAGCGGACGTCGTCATGTTGCTCGTCGTTTCCGGTTCTTGAGCTTTGGGCCTCACTTCCGTTTAGGACCCCCATTGTCCTTCGGGCTTTGCCTGAACTGTTCAGGATTTGGGTAATTAGGTTGGCGTGTGGCAGCCGCTTTCAAGTCGGTACGCATTTCTATAAGTGTCATGTCTCTGAGTGATTTGCCAGCCTTGAGGTTTTCTAAGGCAAGCATAGACCCGCATTCCAAGCCAATGGAGATCACATTGAAGTTTTCCTCGCGAGTATTCCAAAGTCAACGTTCAGGCACTGTGCTGCAATATTCTATGATATTTTGTGTCAAGCCACCCAGCGCAAACTCTTGAAGGCCAGGAACCTGTGATTTTGGGACCTCGGCTCTCCACCGCACAAATCATGCAGAATGTGCAAATATGGCGAGTTGATGCGTTAAAAGATCGGCCCCTTCCCTCCTTCTTGCAAGCCAGTCACATGCTGGCCTTCCCGATCCAGCTTGGATCTGAGCTGGACCACCTGGGTGACGCGGTTTAAGAAGGCATCTAAAAGCCATGGCCTCCAACCTACTAGCAATGGCCTCCAACCTAGAGTTATAGCTTTTAGCTACTAGCAGCTTCTTGTTACTATATAGTAGTAATGGCCTCCAACCCACTAGCGACGGCCTCCAACCTATGTACTTGTTGGCAAAACTGTTCCATGATGGGCAAGCAGCATCTCCTCACTTTCGGGCTTGTTGTGGGCAACCACAAAGTTCACTCCTCAGTTAGAGCATCCGGAGGCATTGCAATTGAAAAAAAGCAATGTGGTACCAAGGCCATGGAACTGTGAGGGCCCAAGTATTCTTGCTCCACTTCGCATTTGCGCCTTAAGCGTGTCCAACTGACGTTCCATATCTATCAACGATCTACTTGTGGCAACTGACCTCCATGACAAGCATAGGGACCGCACTGAACAAGATCCCCCGAGATGATGTGAGCCAAGAAATTATAGGGCTGCATGCCTTGGCAGCACCACTTTGTCACACAAGGATTCACAAGGGGACCTGGCAGAGAAGCTTGCCTGTTGTCATGAAACCATCCTCATCAATGAATCCTGTTGCCAAGAGGTCGTCGAAAACCTTAAGGCAGAGCAGAAGCAGCAAGCTCAAAAAATAGTGTGGTGCCTTGGAATGCATGCCAATGAGAAAACAATGCACGTGGTGGAAAATGTTCTTCTAAGTGCCAGAAGAGTTTGGCCCAAAAACAATGCAGGTATTCTGGGTGAGGAAGCTAACAGCTGAGCATGACATGCATACATGCATAGAGAAGGTTGCTTGCAACAGGTGGTGAAGTTTTCTGCGCGAAACTCTAAGCAGCATGATTCTAGTGCCTAACACAGGAATAACAAAAAAGTACTCAGGGACATCGTGCAATTCAAACATATGCCACACTTGAAGCCGGAAGAGTTGACAGCCCTGACTCAACTTGTTGCTCACAGTGTGAAGGCTGAGAGCCAAGCAAGATCCGCAGCCATGCCTTCATGCATATGCTTGCGGACCTGACCAACCAGACTCACTTTGATCTCTGGTGCACTTTCTGTCCAAAATGAACTTTATTCGAGAGTCGGGAGAAATTATGCCAGCATAAAACAGTTTGTGGGTGGCACCCTCCGGGGGCACCAGCACCCAAGCTGCCACAGACATCTCGCAGCAGAAAAATGCAGCAGCACCCTGCAGTGACACTGCAGTGGCTCCCTGCCATCAACATCTGGCACGCGCCAGCACCCTGCCATACATCACATCTGGCAGCAACACCCTGCAGCGGCACCAGCATCCAAAGCTCACGCGGCCGTACACATCTGGCAGCGACGGCACCAGCACTCAGGCTCCAAAGGGCACATCGGCACCTCTTCCTATACTTGAAGTAAGAACCCAAATAGTTCTCACCATCTGCAGAAAAAAGAAGAAAGCTCGACCTTGAAATGCCCTCTCTTTTTGCTATCGGAGATGTCGCCTGCTTGAAATCCTCTGCAGAGCAGACCGTCTCAAAGTGAGCATGGTAGAAGTCCTTTGGAAGGCATGTTAAGACGACTCCAAACTGCACTTGTATGACTTGTGCACTTGCTTATACAATCTTATATAAGAGGCAATGATTATTCTGCAGCAAAAGGTCCTCAAAGGAGGAGAAAGATTCCAGCTTTCCTTGTTCAGCTCCACGATTCCTTTGCGAAAGCCTTTGCAAAGCAACGCTGCCAAACCAAGATGGGTGACGACAAGGCATATCCAGTGAGGCCAACAGGTCAAGAAAAGAAATTCAGCTCAAGCAACCAGAGCTTTGCAACAGCTTTACTGTGTCTTTGCTGCGTTCCTTGTTTGGGGGGGCTTTGCTTCAGCTGAAGAAAAAGTTCCAAGCGGGTCCAAGCGGCTGCTTTTGGGTGCGAGTGATCTCTTGGAGCTTTCTCTCGGTTTGTTGGGTGTCTGGGTGCTCCTTTCCAAGCCTCCGAACGAGTCGTCCATTCCACTAAAAATCCTAACGTAACTCTCTCTGTATCTCTCTCTCTCTCTATCTGACTCTCTCGCTCTCTCTCTCGTCTCTCTCTCTCTCTCTCTGTCTCTCTCTCTCTCGCTCTCGCTCTCGCTCTCGCACTTGCACTCGCTCTCACTCTCGCTCGTGCAACCATAGCACAAACATACCACGAAGGGTTTGATCGGATATATACATAAACATGACTTGACTTGCATTCCAATCGATTCGGAGAAAAACTTGGCAAATCCGCCGACCCCACACCGTGGGGTGAGGCGTGACTGTCAACGTTAGCCTTAGCCTTAAGCCTTAGCCTTAGCCTTAGCCTTAGTCCTTAGCCTTAGACCTAGACCTAGACCTTACCTCCCCTACCCCTCCGGACCCTAGTTGCAGTGACGAAATCCGGCCCTAAAAGCGACGGAAATTCTCCAAGAAAGCTACCTGATTGTGACGTGGATTGTCCAAGATTCTGCCATCCCAATTGATTTACATCTTGGGGCACCCTCTCGACCCGCGCGGGAAAATAAGCACGGTCCAAAATGGTCCTGGGCTCGAATCCCGGGCTGGTCGCGGCATGGTCCCGGCCAATGCCCTTGCTTTTTCGTAGATTTTGTCACGTTTTCTGTTTTTGCAGTTTGGCCTGCGAGCGGTCCTCGGCGAAGCGATGACGTCCGATGGTAAATCTGGGAGGTACCCAAAAAGTCGACTTTTTGGGTACCTGCTTTGGTGGTGATGGGTTGGGTCACCGGGAGAAACCGATCGATTCAGCACAAGTCCGGGCGCCGAGTCGACTTTTTGGGTACCTGCTTTGGGTTGGGTCGCCGGGAGAAACCGATCGATTCAGCACAAGTCCGGGCGACGACACTTGTGGCACTTGAATGTACCCTAGACCATGGGCAGCGCCCTGCGGCCCCACAGGCCGCAGAACCCAACGCGTCACGGGGTTCATGCAAGAGCTGACGTCCGATGGTAAATCGGGAGGTACCCAAAAAGTCGACTTTTTGGGTACCTGCTTTGGTGGAGATTCTTGGGCAATGATATCCTTTATGGGGACGAGGGTTCAGTCGACTTTTGAAAAAACAGAGACAGTCCTCTATCGTGGAACCCACCTTTGCAGTTTGGCCTGCGAGGGATCCCCGGCGAAGCGATGACGTCCGATGGTAAATCTGGGAGGTACCCAAAAAGTCGACTTTTTGGGTACCTGCTTTGGTGGTGATGGGTTGGGTCACCGGGAGAAAAGGCGTGACTGTCGATGTTAGCCTTAGCCTTAAGCCTTAGCCTTAGCCTTATCCTTAGCCTTAGACCTAGTCCTTAGCCTTAGACCTAGACCTTACCTCCCCTACCCCTCCGGACCCGTGTTGCAGTGACGAAATCCGGTCCTAAAAGCTACGGAATTCTCCAGGAAAGCTACCTGATATTGTCCAAGATTCTGCCATCCCAATTGATTTACATCTTGGGGCACCCTCTCGACCCGCGCGGGAAAATAAGCACGGTCCAAAATGGTCCTGGGCTCGAATCCCGGGCTGGTCGCGGCATGGTCCCGGCCAATGCCCTTGCTTTTTCGTAGATTTTGTCACGTTTTCTGTTGGTTTATGAGATTTTCAAAGGCTTTTCTTGCATTTTCCTAGGAATGCTCTAGGCTTTGTCTTTTTGGGTACCTGCTTTGGTGGTGCTGGGTTGGGTCTAAATTCTTGGGCAATGATATCCTTTATGGGGACGAGGGTTCAGCATTACGGGGTTCATGCAAGAGATGACGTCCGATGGTAAACCTGGGGGGTACCCAAAAAGTCGACTTTTTGGGTACCTGCTTTGGTGGTGAAGGGTTGGGTCTAATTCTTGGGCAATGATCGGGGTTCATGCAAGAGCTGACGTCCGATGGTAAATCTGGGAGGTACCCAAAAAGTCGACTTTTTGGGTACCTGCTTTGGTGGTGCTGGGTTGGGTCTGCACTCTTAAGGCTAAGGCTAAGGCTTAAGGCTAAGGCTAACATAGAGCAAGGCTAGCGCTAAGGTTCTATCCCTTGGGGGTCGGCGGCTGCAGGCGGTAGCCTGGTAAATAAAAACTGGATCCATTGAATCATGAAATGCTTGCCGTCGAGCATCTTTTCAATTCGGAGCTTGTGTACGAGACGTAACCTGTGGTTGTCATTACTCTCTCCTCTTAAAATCAGTGCTCGAAGTGCCCATAGCAAGTCTATGCTTCCTGACATCCTTCACAAAGACTTATATAAGTAGATCTACAGTCTCTCACTCATTCTTTCCGTTTCAATCTATATAACTGCCCTGCTGTCTGCTTCAGTTTTGACATGACACTCTAAGGACACAGGCCAAACATCCTGCTCAAAAGATTTTGCCAAGCTGCTGTGAAACAGATTCATCGATCGGTCCACCTGGAAGCTGTGCTACTTCCCGGCGGATAGAAACCAAAGCTGGAATTCAAACTCGAAAACGTACAAACGGCTGGGTCAAATCACGTTTTGTTGAGAAGCGACCTGTGTTTCAACTTCAACTCCAACTTTATGGACACTTTACCCTTCTGTCCGGCTGCTCCTGCGTCGCATTTATTGTCAAAAAGACATCGATCTAGCCAGGAGCATGCTTGATTGTGCATCGCTGACAGTGTAAGCGGATGTCCCTGGCGCAAAGTTCATTCCATGCTCCTTCTCCTAATTTAGTGTTTTGAAATTGTTTGAACAATATTGAACAAAAGAACACGGGATGACACAAAAGATCACGGGACCTAGACACTTAAAGAGATGCGCGATGTCACGTGGCATTGAAGAAGCATAGCATACAGCTCTGCTTGTTTTCGTAGCACCTGCTGCAGCAAGTCCTTGAGGGACTGGACTGCACGTTGATGCAATTGCTCCGACTCCGTGAAGAGGTCATTTGAAGGTTCAGGTGCCTGCAAGTGCAAAACAACCGTCAATGTCAACTACTAGAAGGCGAAAGCACCGGATCCTAATTTTGTTTTCGAATTATTCTTCTTGATGGGAGGTTGTTATCTGGATACGAATCCCTTTTGTTGATGGGCATCGCTGCGAACACTGGGGACTCCAATGTTGTGCATGCGACAGTCCACAAATACTTCTTCAGCCAACCTTGCCTCGGAAAGAAAGCGAGCAAAGTTGCTCAGCCTCGGTAAACACAAAAGTGCGCTTTAAAAAACCAGCGCCAAAACAAATAGTCCTTTCAGCATGATCTGGATTTGCAACGAAGCGTGCTCCAACTCAGCCTTGTGCGTGTACAGTGTTCGGGGGTCCTTTGCTCCGATTGTCATCTCTCGCCCCTTCACAGCTTGGCCTCAAACGGAGTCTGGCTGTTCGAGTTGCGATGCCAAAATATCTCTGATCGCAACATGCTACTCAGTCCAAAGGGCTGTAAAGCTCGCGAGCTTCCTGAAAGACTTCAGCTGTCAAGGGCCTAGGCCAATGCAAAGGACTTCTTAATGTGACAATGTCATGTCACTGAGTGACCGTCCGTGTCTCAACGGCGGCAAAAAATTAGCATTCGTACTGATATCTGCATACAATCATAAGGTGCATCAAAGGCAAGGGGCTGGTCAGTCATAGACTTGAACAAAACTGCAACCGTAAATGCTGGTGCCAACTCCTTGAATAAGATCATCTGTGGTATTCATTATATTCAAATGCGCTTAGCGGAGCTGCTCCAACAGTGAACTGCACAAAGAACGGCAAGTGTGTCTGTGTGTGTGTGTCGCCACCCGTTCCTAAGGTTCTCATAGCTAATCCTTGCTTTGATGAAGCCCCGCCTTACTTCAGGATTTCGACTCACGACTCCTCATTTTAAGCAGCAGGGGGTGGCAGCAGGAACGAGAGCCTGCCACCAACGAAGGCACTCTCGCTTTCCTGGTGATACTGGGACTGATCATCCCAGCGTACCTGCCAATTTGAATTCGTTTCACCCAGGTTCAAACAACACTATTCAACATCTTCAAGTTTCTCGGATCCGCCGCCTTTCTGCTTGCATTCTTTTCCAGTCAAGGTCTAATGCACGTAAAGTGGAACTTCATACTGATCCTAGATCTTGCGAGCAACTCTCTAAGTGTGTTTCGCCACAGGGTCCCACTGCGGGCTGTGGTGTGATCCCCGTCAAGAAGCGCGGCATACGTTTAGACCCACGTGGGGGATCCCTCTACTGATCTCTCGGTTTTGCGCTCCGGAACTTCTTGTGATTGTTTCTGAATGACTGTACTGCACGCTACCCTTGATTTCATGCCGCAGGGCTTACTGTGATCAAGGACTGAAGACGTTTTTCTGCAGCATCAAGATGCTAAGTAACTACCTGTACAGTCATCTCAGGCACGATTCAGGCACGACCTTACGTTCAAGTTAGGCCAGTCATCTTCCGCACGGCACGAGAGCTTGTCGTCAGGTCGCTCCACGACTTCCACTGCGACGCCATGAACTACCAGTGGATTGCTCAACCTTCTCCAGCACCAAGTGCACCTTCTCCCTATGGATCTATGTCGCAGCCGACCTCTTTGGTGACCCCTTCGGCTCCGTATGGTGCAGTTCCCACGATGCAAATCCCAGCGCCCCACCTACAACCACTTCAACCAGCACTACCACACCCACAGCATCCACAACTTCAATACACCTCCCCCACAGCGATGTCTCATCAGTTCCAACACATTCCCAACACCCACCTGGTTCAGATTCCATCCACAGTTCACCCAGCAGGTTGCCCAGTGCAATCAACCCCACATCCATCCGACCCGAGTGTCTCTTGGCCTTCACCCACACTACTTGTCGCCCCATCGACATACTGTTTCCCATTCCCCTTCCATAGGTATATTACCTCAGCCATTTTGACAGTTCAAGTCCTCGCCATGTCTCTGTATACCTCCCCCACGATCAGTGAACGCGGAGGACCTCCGTTTAGTACATTCACTGTGCCTCACCTGCCTCCGCGACAACCTGATCCAGGTCCCGTACGGCATCCTGAGATGATGTGGCTACCCAATAGACTGATCTATCCTATTTCCTTGCTTTAGGCTCGATCCTAGGAATTTGACTATAAAGAATATATATATATAAAATAGTAACTATTATAGTCAATTTTTTCAAAAAATATATATTTTTTCAAAAAAAATCCTTGAAAATAGTCTGATGAAATAAGATATATATCTTGTTTTTGGTGACTAACTATTTTCTACAGATTTGACGAGAAGTCCTAGAAAATAGTTAGATTGAAATATATATATTTTTAAGAAATATATATATTCCTTAAAAATAGTCAAAACTGAAACTTCGACCAAACTTCGACCAAACTTCGACCAAACTTCGACCCCCCCTGTTGTTGCAAAAAGCTTGACATATGCTAATGTTCTCTTCTAGAACACACATCTGATATATTGAAAAGCTAGAACATGGTGGAAACAACGTGCCTCTCATGGTCTCTCGAAACGCCTCTCATGGTTTGGTTCTGAAAATAGCCATACCAGGACATGTGTTGCAAAAGTATGAGGAATATGCGGTGACAGAAAAAGAGCAGGGGAATACACAGAACATGTGTCGACAAGGTCAGTTTGCACTAAATATTGGTTAATTATATCAATACCCGAATCCTTCTTGCTGCTTTTGTTGATGTCATCCTCTGTCTGCGTCGCAGCAGCCCCTTTTCGTCTATACCGGTGGCGCACCTTTGTGGATCAACTATGCTCAAAAGGTTGTTACAGCCCAACACACTGCTCTTCAAAAAGGAAATGCAAAGCCAAACGGTAATGGCGGCAAAGCTTGACAGACTGTTGGGGAACTTTGTTGCCCCGAGTACAGGTTTGGGTCTGGTCTTCTCCGGCGAACACCCACACAACTCTAGGCGAAATGCATTTTGACATAATGGCCAATTCTTGTACCATATGACACTTGCTCGTAATGTCAAAGTATTTGATGTCTTCCTGTAAGTAATGCTCTGCAATTTGGGTCAGGAGCAAGAGCATCTGAGAGCAAGCCTCTTCAAATCTTTGTGCGATGCCTGGGGGGAAACTGAACTCCTCCTTGAACTCGGTAATTGTGTCCTCAAGTTCCACGTTCAGCTGCAACATGAGCAAAATTTTTTTGCGCAAAGAAAGATGCACATTCATCTCCTTTGACCAGAGCGACAGCAAAGCCTTCCCGAAGTGTCGAATCTCAGAACCCTTGCCTCTCAATTTCGGAAACTTTCCTGCAGCACGCAGGAACATTGACAGCCTGTTCATATACCTGAAAGGAGTGGGGGTTTGGTTGTCTTTGAAGAACTGCCTGAGATAGGCCCATGCAGTTTGCAGGTTCTGTTCCGCTGACTGTGGCATCACATAGTTCACCAGGACCGCCATGACGGAACCGAAAATGTACTGGTCCATACCTAAGTACTTACAGTGGAGCCAGTCATAGTGTATTGTCCAACACGATGCCCCTGGCAAAGTGAGCAGCGACAACCGATTCCTATTCTCCCACAATCGCCACTCTTGCGGCGACCACCTGGTCATCCTCCAAGGCCCACCCTGCCTGAAGTCGCACCAGGTGTTCTCACCTGTACCTGTGCGTTGACACCATACACAAGGACCACTCACCAGAGATGCGTTCGGGCACCCTAGCATACCATGTAGATAGTCCAAGTCGCCAGTGAGGGCGAAGAGAACTCCACACCAACCATCAGCTAGCCATGCGTTGGCTCTTTTGTGTTCAGCAGTTCCCGGTTGGTACCTGTCTGAGTGTTTCAATGTTACAAAACTCGCTATATATATATGGGTTTTGTGACACAGATAGAACGGACATATTCAACATGGACACATTGCGTTTTCATTTCAACATGGCATTCATACAAAAGACAAAAAGAATCAGCTGGGTTTGTGATAGTCGAGCTGCGCTTTACCATAGGGGTCATGGCTCGGCCACTTGCCTTCAGCAAGACATAAAAATGACCAGTGGAGAATCTTGTAGAACTCATGCAAAGTTCCATGTGTCACATCCCCAACTTTAAGGCGGTCGTAAAAAGCCCAAATCCACATGAGCATAGAGCTTGTTTTCCCCTGACCGATAAGGGAATACCAGGAATAATGAGTCATCATCCGGCTCCACGCCTTTCCCACACCTACAATCGGGACACCGTCCCCGTGAACGGCGATTGGAACTGTGCGCTCATTCCAGCTTGGTTTGGCTTTCATGGGGTGGTCTTGCATCTGCGGGTGGAGTCTGACTGCGTGCCAAAACTTCTTCACAGTGTCCACGGATGGGGCCACAGTTTTGCTCCAAACTGCTTTGTAGCTGTGATAGATGACAGAGAAGAGCTCGTGTGGGAGTAGCATCATTTGGCTGCAAGTTTGTCGAAACCCTCGGAGTGGGATTTGAAACTTATAGCCTTTAGGCAGCCGAGAAACCCATTCAATTCTTTCCATCAGTTGGCCGTGCATTTTGTTGCTGTATTTCCCCTTGGTCCCAAGGCTCTGGAGAATCTTCAACTCCTCAATCACACTTGGGTTGTTGGCAGCATTTTCGATGTCTTGGACAGCGCGAGCAGCGATCTCTTGCACCCGCTGGGGGCTGAAGAACCCCCACGCAAACAAACTAAGAAGTAAGGCTGCCAAAGTGCTGCTGCCCTCAAAGTTGTGCACGGCCCGCTCGGCTTCTTTGGCCCTGGCAATCCTCTGTTTTATACCACCTCTTTTTTGTTTCTTTCTGGGTGGCTCCATGTTCAATACATACCGGCGCAAAAGGTGTAACAGTGTAAACAATGTCTTTTACATGTGGCAGTGGTAAAAAGGTCTCCTGTCAGACTCTATGTGTTTTGTCAGTGCCTGTCTTCATGCACACATTGCGTCTTAAGCGGCTCAACTGCTGAAGAGGTTCGAGTGTGAGGAGACTTTCTCTTGAAGCGCAAAGTGGCTTCAGTGGCGTTCATTTGTCATTTAAACAGTTTTGAGATCTCACTCTTTTTTTCGCTCTATAGGTCTTCAGCTTGTCATGCCTTCTGGCCTCGTAATACATTGAGTTTGCAGTGCACGGCCTAGCCACATTTGAGCTATGATCTGGGAAAGCGTTAGTGTCAGACCTGAACCATGAACCATGAGTGTCAGAACCGTGAGAGACAGAGAGGAATTTGAGTGAAACATATTCTGACGTATGCATCTCGAAACTGATTGAAAATGTTTTCTTAGCAAAAGGCTCGAATACATCTCGTGTAGGGCTTCACCTTAGGAACCTCCCACTGGTTGGCCACCTTGAGAGGAGTAACTTCACCTTGAGAGGAGCGAGAGGAGGGATCTCACCTTGAGAGAGCAACGTTGAGAGAAGTGTTTGAAATAAAACTTTGTTGAGAGAAAGCCAACTGTTGGTTGATGTCGTTTTGTTTGAACTCGTGCCTGTGGCAAAAACGATCTCCACTCTTTTTGTCCAAACGTTGTAAGTTCTGAAAATGATTAA